CTCCTGGTTGTCCCAAAGGTGCTTTTTTTCTTGAAAATGGTTTGCTTCTCACCCAAGAAGCTTCTTCAGTTCTTCCGAGAGGGGGAGGGGAGGAGGGAGGGAGGGAAGAGGGAGAGAAAGGGAGGAAGGGGACAGAAACGAAAGAGAAAGGAAAGAAAAAAGAAAGGAGGAAGGAAGGAAGGAAGGAAGGAAGGAAGGGGAAAGAAAGAAAAAGGGAGGGAGGGAGGAAGGGGAAAGAAAGAGGGAGGGAGAGAGGAAGGAAGGAAGGGGAAAGAAAGAAAAAGGGAGGGAGAGAGGAAGGGGAAAGAAAGGAAGGGGAAAAGAGAAAAAGGGAGGGAAGAAGGGGAAAGAAAGAAAGAAAGAAAGAAAAAGAAAGAAAGAAAGAAAAGAGGAAGGAAGGAAGGGGAAAGAAATAAATAAAAGAAAGGAAGGAAAGAAAGAGAAAGGGAGGGAGAGAGGAAGGGGAAAGAAAGGAAGAAGAAAGAAAAAGAAAAAAGAGGGAGGAAGGGAAAGAGAAAGAAGAAAAGAAAAAGAAGGCTTAGGCGGATGAGTGGCAGATGAGAGAGACAGACGGACAAAGAAGGAAAGACATCTGAAGAACTGAGGAAGCTTCTTGGAGCAGAAGCGAAACGTTTTCAAGGAAAAACCCAAGGAAAGTCCAGCTGCCTTTTTTGGGAAAGCCCTTTGGGGGACCCCATTTCAAGGAGCAGAGGGGCTCTTTTCGTCTTTAGCTTGGTTCTTCTTGATGGACCCAGCTGACAGATGGTGGTGGTGGGGGGGTTGCAATCCCTTAACTGGGTGACTTTCCCTCCCCGGCGGGGAATCTGGGCAAAGACGGGGCTGGGGGCGTTTCCGCCTGGCAGGGCCTGCGCTGGGTTTAGGGGGAAGCCTTGCCAGGAAGGGGCCTCGCCCGGGGGAGAAGCCGGGGCCGGGCGCCCAGCAACCCCCCCCCCCGCAGGAGGGGGCTTCCAGGTCAACCCAGGAGAGCGTCTGGGGCTCAGGGTTGGCCTGAGGGTCCTCTGAACTTGGATGTTCCCTTGCCGACTTCTTCCATGACCCAAACGAGGGAACACCCTCAGTGTTAGAAGGGGGGGGGGTTGCAGAGTGGAGGAGGAGGAGGAGGAGGAAGACAGCTGTGGGGTCCTTGGTGCTCTCTGAACTGGGTGGTTCTCTTGCAGACGTTTCATAACCCAACTAGGGAACATCATCAGAATAGGATAGAGTAGAATAATAGAATGGAATATAGCAGTGGTTCTCAACCTTTTTAATGCCGCAACCCCCCAACCGGTCGTAAGTGGAGGACTACTCAACCGGTCATAAGTCGAGGACTACTCCACTGGTGCAGCACCGTTTGCAGACTGGGGCTTTTGGCGGGCTCAGCAGGGCAGAGACAGCCTGGACAATTCCTATGGACTTTTGAAAGCCAATAGAATTAGACTCTATTCAAGAGAGTCTATTCTATTGGCTTTCAAAAGCCAATAGAATAAAAGGGAGGAGCACAGCTAAGGAAAAGGGGGGGGGAAATGGTGGACTGCGTTGTTTGGCGACCCCCGTGAAATGGTCGTTCGACCCCAAATGGGGTCCCGACCCACAGGTGGAGAACCGCTGGAATATAGAATAGGATGGGATAGAATTCTGGGAGTTGAAGTCCACCAGTCTTAAAGAGGCCAAGCTTGGACACCCCAGCCAATAGGACGCCCCCCCCCCCCCGTAGGACGCAGCCACTGCTGAAGGGAGCCATGCCACCAGTCCTCATGGCCTTCCCCATTTCCTCGGCAGGTCCAGCTCCCAGGCGCCCATCGACTGGGGCAAGATGGCCGAACAGTGGCTGCAGGAGAAGGAGGCCGAGCGCCGGAAGCAGAAGCAGCGGCTGACCCCTCGGCCCTCGCCCAGCCCCATGATCGAGAGCACGCCCATGTCCGTGGCCGGCGACGCCACCCCGCTCCTGGACGAGATGGACCGGTAGTCCCCCGCGGGCGGAGCCAAGCTGACCCACACCGCTCAGCCACCTCGCGCCGTCTCCTTCCTCTCGTTCGCTTCCCCCCCCAGCGGGAAAAAGCGCGCCGGGGACGCCGGGCAGCGCCCTGCGTGGGGAGCAGAGACTCAAGGAGGCTGCAGGAGTCTTGGCACCGAGACGGCCTTGCGGCTTTCGGACCCGTTGTGGCATTTGTGCGTTCTGCTCTCCCGTGCCCGCTTCCCACAACTACTTTTCCAGGGAGGGGGGTGACGCAGAAGCAGAACGGCCGGGCCGGGCCAGGAGTAACATGAGAAGGCCCGGCCTCAAACTCGGAGGCTGGACATGCCATCCCTCTGATCTCCTTCCTTTCTTTCTTTCTTTCTTTCTTTCTTCCTTCCTTCCTTCCTTCCTTCCTTCCTTCCTTCCCTTCCTTCCTTCCTTCCTTCCTTCTTAGTTCCTTCCATCCATGCCCTTCTTTCCTTCCTTCTTCTTCCTTCCTTCCTTCCTTCCTTCCTTCCTTCCTTTCCTTCCTTTCCTTGAGTTTGAGTTTCCATCCATCCTTCCTTCCTTCCTTCCTTCCTTCCTTCCTTCCTTCCTTCCTTCCTTCCTTCTTAGTTCCAGGTTGAGTTTGATGAGTTTCCATCCATTGCCCTTCTTTCCTTCCTTCTTCCTTCCTTCCTTCCTTCCTTCCTTCCTTCCTTCCTTCCTTCCTTCCTTCCTTCCTTCCTTCCTTCCTTCCTAGTTCCAGGTTGAGTTTGATGAGTTTCCATCCATTGCCCGTCCTTCCTTCCTTCCTTCCTTCCTTCCTTCCTTCCTTCCTTCCTTCCTTCCTTCCTTCCTTCCTTCCTTGTTCCAGGTTGAGTTTGATGAGTTTCCATTCATTTCCTTTCCTCCTTCCTTCCTTCCTTCCCTCCCTCCCTCCCCTCTCTTTCTCTCTCTCTCTTTCGCGCTCGCTATTCTGTGCTCAGTGGCTGTGTCGAGATTCGGGGCGCTTTGCTGCCTGAGCCCCGAAAGCCATGCGGCCTCCACCCTAAGCCGCGTTGTGGCTCTGCGGCTCTGCAGCTCTCCGGGACAATATTTATTCAGTTGTGTTACTAAAAGAAAGAAAGAAAAAGAAAAAAAGCTTGCAAGTTGCACCCCCCCCCCCAGTCAATGGCCGCCTTTGTGATCCAGGAGGAGGAAAGTCTGGAGCAGCAGCTGGAATGCCAAGTAGCGCCTTGTGCTCCCCCCCCTTCCCCTCCCCGTGTCCCCTCCCCGACAGCAAAAGGAATAAATGGTGTTTCTACAGACTCCTCCTCCTCCTCTTTCTCCTCCTGCCTCCAGCTGTAAAGAGGAGGAGCTGAGATGCCAGCCTGGCAGACACGGGCTCCGTCGGGCGCGAGAGGGGCTAATAAACCAGGTTTGCTTTGGCGGAACCAGGCGGTTTTCTGGGGCTTGGGTGGCTTCGGTCTTGGCAAGGAGTTGTCTTGACTTCTGCCGGTTGTGGGCCGGCTCTTGGCTCCCTCCCTGGGAGACCAGCAGCCCCCTGGCCTTCAGGGCGTGGAGCCGGGCCTTTGGGGGCTGGCAGACCCTCGGCGCTTCTCGATGTTCGCCCTCCGCTCTGCCCATTTGGCCTGAATCTCCCCCCCCCCAAGTCTCACCCTCACCCCTTGGCGCAGGGGGCAAGGAGATGTGGCCGGCCGCCCTGGGCCGTGCGTTCATGCACTGGCCGGGACTGGGAGCCGGTGGTAGGGGCCACGTTCCTCGGGGCCCCCAAGGCAGACGTAGCCAGGGGGCCTGGCCAAGCAAGAGGCGGGTGCGGACTCTGCTCTCCTTGGCCCTTGCAGCAGAGACGGGGTGCTCTTCAGCGACTTGGGGGGTCTGGACCCTCTCCCGCTCGGGCTCCCTTGGGAAAAACCAGCTCCCCCCCTTGACCCCCACATGCAGCAGGATGGGGTTTTTCCTGCCCATTGGCAAGTGTCTTTTACCTCACTGGATTCAGGGGGGGACTTGAAGGGGGGGGATGTCAGTGGAGCTGTTGCTTCTGCCTGCCTGCCTGAAGCCCCCAACCCTGGGGAGGAGCGTGGCCATGCCCACCCTTGGGACTTGCCCGAATCCTGGAGGTCAAGGGCCAGGAGAGCCCCCCTCCTGTGACAGCAAAGGTGGTCCCCACGTCCGAGCAAGGGGGAGCTTGGCCAGGCCCCGTGTTCATTGCCCAGACCAGTGATAGGCAACCTCGGCTCTTTTACGACTCGTGGACTTCAACTCCCAGAATTCCTGAGCCAGCCAACATGGCTGGCTCAGGAATTCTGGGAGTTGAAGTCCACAAGTCCTCCAGGGGCTGGTGGGGGGAGCAAGGAAGCCGCTCTTCCAGGGCTCAGACAACCCCCCCCCCCCAAAAGAAGGTTTGGACAGGGAGCTAGCTGGGCATTGGACCCTGCCAAGCGGGCGACAGAATCCAAGCTTCTCCTGGCCTCTGTTGTGCCTTGGGTTGAAACCAACCAGGAGAGTGTCTTGGTGTCTCCTGGCCCTTCCCACTGTTCTCCTGGGGGGTCTCTCTCTCCTCCCCCCCCCCATTTATACTTCTGAGAATCTGAATATGGTTTTTGCCAAGGTAAAAAAAATCAGATTAATCAGAGCCAGATGTGAACATCTGGAGAGATTGACGTGGAAAACTGAAACCAGAACCCCACTTGTGGGGGTGGGAGAGGACCCAGAGAGATGGGGACTAGCGGGGGGGGTGGGTGGGAGAGGCCAGACTGAGTCCCTTGGGCAATCATGCCCACCCCCCAAGTTAGTTTTCTGGCCAGGCAGCGGGGGGGGGGGGTTGAAAAGGACAGGTGCCTCAAAAAACATTGCTCCACCTGGGTGGGAACCCCCCTCCCTCAAAAGACACCCTCCTCTGCAACAGTTCCCAGGCCTGTTGGGAGCAGGTTGAGCCGTGAACAGCCCAAGTAGCCAGAGGGGGGGGGTCTGTGTCCTGGCTCGCCCACTGACCTCTTCTGGGGGGGGGGCTCCCCAGGCCCAAAGGGTTTTATCAAACAGACCGGCTGGAGGGCACCAGTGCAGAGTGAATCCGCTTTTATTCCTTCTTGATCAAGACCGACAAGAGCAGGTCCGGTCTTTCGCACAGGGTCTCTCAAGCAGGGGGGGTTGGACTAGATGACCTCCAGAGTCCCTTCCAACTCTCTTGGCCTGTGGCAGTTCTCCACCCTCTGGGTCTCACCGTTGTCCCAAAGGTGCTTTTTTTCCAAAAGGCAACTGGACTTTCTTGTTTGTTTCCCCCCCCCACACACACACACACACTTTGAAAGCATTTTGCTTCTCATCCCAGAAGCCTCTTCAGTTCTGAAGAAGCTTCTTCACGAACTGAGGAAGCTTCTGGGATGAGAAGCGAAACCTTTTCAAAGGGGAGAAAAAAACAACCTTGAGAAAATCCAGTTGCCTTTTGAAAAACGCACCTTTGGGACGACGCTCTTTATTCTGTAATTTTGTTCACACTTCAGCTGCAAAGACCTTCACCAAAGATTTGGGGGGGGGGGCTCTTTGCTTTTCCTTTATGCGGTCCACATTCCCTCCTCTGAGTCTCTGCCGGGCCTGGAGTGCTTCTGATGTCGTGGCGAGGCTTCCTCTTCCCTCTGCAGCTTCCTCCTCCTCTTCCTCCTCCTCCTCCTCTTCCTCCCCCCAGGCGGGCCGGCGGTGGGGCGGGCCTTTTGCAGGACCGTCTGCATGCTCTCAGGCATGCCAGCAGCAGCCGGCTCGCTCCCCACTCGGCCGGGCTCGTCACTCAGGATGGCATTGAAAGAGTCCCCCTGCCCCATTTCGGGGTGCCCGTCTGGGGCCTGGGCGCCCCCCTTTGCTAAGTCCTGCACAGCCAGCTTCTTCAGGGGGGCTCCCTCCGCAGTGGGGTGCTGGTGGGCAACGGGGGTGTCCGGCTTGCCCCAGCTGCCCTTTTTCTGCTTTTTCTTCGCCCCCTTTCCTTTCCGGCCCCGTCCCTCCTTCCCTTTGACCTTCCTAGGCCTTGGGGGCCTGGCCTGGGTGGGCTTCCAGGCGGGAGGAGGAGGAGGAGAGCTCCCCAACGGTCGGAAGTGGATGCTGGTGCTGGTGGAAGCGGCCAGTTTGGGCCGGCGGGTTGCTGGGGCGTCGATCGGCTCTCCTCCATAGTCAAACATCACCGGGTCCTTGAGGACAGCGACGGACGTCCGGCTGTAGTTCTTACACCTGGGAGGAAAAGAGTGGGGTGGGGTCCTTTGCAAGGGGAAGGAATGCAGGAGGGGGAAGCCAGGACATGGGGTCCCGGCTCTGGATTGTTTTAAAGCAGCGGCGTCCAAGTTTGGGCCATTGGAAGACTGGCTGGGGAATTCTGGGAGTTGAAGTCCACAGGTCTTCCAATGGCCCAAACTTGGACGCCGCTGCTTTAAAGCAACTGATCCAATTTAAACTCTTAACAATGTAGTGTCCTCCCTGCACTGCCGACCCACAACATACCCCATCCTGGGTCTGCCGCCCTAAACAGGTCGTCCCCGACGTAACCACTATCCGCTGAATGACCCAAGATATGACCTCACTGTAAAAAAGACACGTATGACCGTTGTTCACACTTAACGACTGTTGCAGCCATCCTCAGTCACGTGATCACAATTCGGCCACTTGGCCACCGGCTCGTATTTGCGACAGTCGCATCTCCCTGCGGGAGGGGAGGGAGGTCATGTGATTCCCCCTTTTGCAATGACTGCAGCAAATTCGTTTAACAAAAGTGGCAAGAACGGCCATAAAATGGGACAAAACCCGCTGAACTGTCCTTAGCAATGGGAAATGTGAGCTGAGCTGTGGTTGTAACTCAAGGACTACCTAGAGTCTTCCTTGCCCGTCCGCTGATTAAACAGAATAACCGAGTTGGAAGGGACCTTGGAGATCATCTAGTCCAACCCCCTGCTCAGGCAGGAAACCCTGTGCCATTCCAGACCGATGGCTGTCCAGTCTGTTCTTGGAAAACCTCTAGTGATGGAGCACCCACAACTTCTGGAGGGAAGCCCTTCCACTGATCAACAGAATAACCCGAGTTGGAAGGGACCTTGGCGGTCATCTAGTCCAGCCCCCTGCTATTCCAGACTAGAGTCCTGCAAGGAAGGCCAGTGTTTGTTAGGGCCACAGAGCAGTGGTGCTGTGACTCACCAGGGTGGGCCATTGGCCCTTCTACAGAGGACCCCCGGGTGGGATGGGGCGGGAGACCCGCGGCCAAGGGACGGCCCCACTCACCACACATACAGGTAGGATTCCACACAGGTTTCCTGGTAGACCAGCTCAAAGCACGGCACCTGGATGATGTTGAAGAAGGTCTGTCCCACCACGCGAGAAGCGGTGTTGTTCACGGCACCCAAACAGTCTTTCAGCCTGGAAGAGACCGGGTGGGTGTGTGTTGGCGGGTCTTGTCCTGGAACTGGCAAGCCTGCACCGCTGTGCCATTCCCACGCTCCCCAGGCCTTCCAGTGAATGCCTCCATTCAAACAGCAGATTGGCAGGTTCACGCTGGCATATTTGTAATATTCCAAACAGTGTTTGCATCTGGGGGCATCCAGCGTGGGCCCCTTTAAGACCTGTGGATTTCAACTCCCAGAATTCCCCAGCCAGCTCTGCTGGCTGGGGAATTCTGGGAGTTGAAGTCCACAGGTCTTAAAGGGGCCCACGCTGGATGCCCCCGGTTTACACTTTGCACGTGGTGGCCTCTTCCCCGAAGCTGGACATTGCAACAGAGCTGAGCGTGGATGGGAATCGGAGTCACCTCACCTGCCCTTTGATTGGCGGCCTTGGGAGCCAGGCCCGGGCCCTCCCAGGCACGCAACTTGTGGCTGGATTGGGGCCCAGCTTGGAAGGGCAGGGGGTGGTGACACCTGCCTCAGCCCGAACCAGGACCCCAACTGAAATCAGAAGTCGGACATTTTCAACCGCTATTTGTGGCTTATTGCGCAAGCCCTGTTTTGCCCAGAATTTCAACAGCAAAGAGGGATGCCCCCCCCCCAAAAGCATCTTTGCTGGCTGCAGAAGAGCCCCTGGGGGGGGAAGTGTGTGTGGGGGGGAAGAGACTGAGGAAAATACTGAATCCTGCCTGAAGGCTGACCAGGTTTTCATGGGTCATGTGAATCCAGGTCACGGGCTAAACCGTGGTCGAGCTCATGCGGGGGAGCAGCCCACCACCCTCAAGAGCTGACAAAAGACCCTCTGCTCTGGGGCTGGATCAGAGAGGTGGCCTGGTCCAAAGCCAGCTTCAGGGTTCCCACCATCGCCACCTGGTAGCCCCCAGCGATCATGGCTGATCCCCCAAACCCACAGGATTGAATCTGGTTATTAGGAAGGGAAGCCACAAGGAGATCACAAGGGTACGGACTCTCCTACGAAAAAAACCCTCTGCAGGTAAAAGGAAGAACTGAGGTCTTCTGTATGGTTGCCGTGGTAATGGCATGGATGCATCCAGGACAAGCATCCAGGCATGAACGAAGGGAAGAGTGGAGAGGAGAAGACAGAATTAAGAAGAGGGAAGAGAATTGAGAATAGAACTGAGAAAATAAGAATAGAACAGAATAGAATAGAATAGAATAGAATAGAATAGAATAGAATAGAATAGAATAGAAAATATGGAATGGAATGGAAAAGAATAGAATATATGGAATGGAATAGAATAGAACAGAACAGAATAGAATAGAAAATATGGAATGGAATGGAATGGAATAGAGTAGAGTAGAATAGAATAGAATAGAATAGAATTACAGGATAAATAGAATAGAATAGAATAGAATAGAATAGAATAGAATAGAATAGAATAGAATAGAATAGAATAGAATAGAATAGAATAGCTTTATTTGGCCAAGTGTGATTAGACACACAAGGGATTTGTCCCCAGTACACAAGCAGAGTACTTGGAAAACAACAGAGAAAATAACAACAACAACAAAACAACAATAGTAATAACAACCCTAAAATTGTCCAACCATGGAAGGGGAAACTAAGGTAATAAAAGGATAAATAATGCAGCCATGTTTTGATGGTGTTTTCATCACACAGACTGTGTGTGTGTTTGTGTGTGTCTGTGTGTGTGTGTTGCCGATCCCTTGGGGGAAATCGGGGTCCCTCCCCCTTGCCAGGCCGCCCCCCCTCCTCACCTCTGGTCGCAGTCACAGTGGCTGATGGTGTGCCAGCGTAGGTTCCGGTGCCCGTACTTGTAGGTGAAGGGATGGATGAGGTGCTGGCAGTGGTCGTGATCCCGACAGCACTTGTCCGTCTCCTGGTGCTCCCCTGCGAGGGAGGGGGGGCAGCGAGGGGGAGTGGTTAGAGTGGGGAGGGGAGAGCAGCACCGAGCCCCCAGGCCTTTTCCCTCCCTGGCCACAATGCCCGCCCCAGACAGCTTGGTTGCTGGAGGTAAAACTGTATTTATCAGAATAAACTAATAAAATAGGGGTCCCCAACCTTAGCCACTTTAAGACCGGTGGACTTCAACTCCCAGAATTCCCCAGCCAGCACAGCTGGCTGGGGAATTCTGGGAGTTGAAGTCCACCGGTCTTAAAGTGGCTAAGGTTGGGGACCCCTGTAATAAGATACAACTTTTTACTTTCGCAAAACTATATACAGGCGTCCCCGACTTCTTTTAATGACCGTTCGAAGGTACAGCGTCACACTTGCGACCGTCCCAGCCTCCCCCGTGGACACATGATCAAAACCCAGGACGCTCGGCCACTGACTCAGATTTACGACGGTCGCAGCGTCCCATGGGGGGGGTGTCCCATGGTCCACTTTTCCAACCTCCCGACAAGCAAAGTCAAACAGAGGAAGTCAGATTCACTTAACAACCAGTTTAAGTTGCGATTCGCTTAATGACAAGGGCAGGGAAGGTCGCAAAAGGGGCAAAACTCACTTATAATAGTAATAGTAGTAGTAGTAATGATAATAATAATAATAATAATAGTAATAATAATAAAGTTGGAAGGCACCTTGGAGGTCATCTAGTCCAACCCCCTGCTCAGGCAGGAAACCCTATACCATTTCAGACAAATGTCTACCTTAGCAACATAAATTATGGGCTCCGTTGTGATCGTAAAGTCAAGGACTACTTGCGCTGGCCATTTTGATGGAATAACGAACCTACCTCAACAGCAAAACCCAAAATCAACGTTTTAATTTGCTTTTCCACCGCGAGCACAAAGCCCAGAAGGGGTTTCCGAGTGGAAAGAAAATTAATGGTGTCCTTTTCTTAAATTACCGTGGCCCATTTGGACAGCCATTTGTCTGAAATGATATAGGGTTTCCTGCCTGAGCAGGGGGTTGGACTAGACGACCTCCAAGGTCCCTTCCAACTTTTATTATTACTATTACTATTATTATCATTATTATCTCTGCCAGCTCCACCAATCTGGGTGGTCATTTCTCTGGTGTGGAAGATCAAAGCGTGCTTCCACCTTTGCCCACAGAGCATTTTCAACATATTATATAAGATCAAAAATTCCATTTTTTTTTCTCAAGTTCCTGATCCCCTCCCTTGTTATTAACACCACCGGCTGGACTTTACAATCCCGGGATGCCCGGGGGGGGGGAAGTGTGGGGAGCACCGTGAGGGGTTTTACAGGCAGCCTGTGACACCCCCCCAGCAGCATCTCTTCCCACAGCTGGCACTGCGGTGTCTCCCCCCCCTTGAAAGCCTGGCGTGTGCCCACCGCCACATCCCAAAGCGGAGCCCTTTACTCTGGCACCAACTTTCCCAGGAGGGTGCCTGCCTACGGAACTCCCCGCCACAAGCCGCAGAAGGAGACCCAGCGGGAGGCTTTGGGGGACGGGGACCACGGACGCCCACCGACGCTGCCCTGGACCCCCGGAGCCCCCCCTCTCCCGTTTTTTCACCTACCCAGCTGCTCGTAGCTCTCCGCGATGTTTCCGGCGCCGCACCAGAGGGTCCCCGGGTAGGTGAAGCCCCGCTTGGCTCTCCGGAGACCCCCGGCCGAGCCCGCCTCCCGCACCCCCTCGGCCGCCCAAGCCGCCGGGTCTCCGTCCCTGCCCCGGCTGTCCGGAGAGCGGGGGGACAGACCGGCCCCGGCCACCGCCAGTAGCACCACCGCCGCCGTCGCCGCTGCCGCCACCCCTACCCCCAGGCCCATGGTGCGCAGCGACTGCTCCCTTCTGCCGGCTGCCGGGCGACCCTCCTTCAGCACCACCGCGCTGAGACAGCGCCCGCTGCCCGCCGCCTTTTAAGCCCCGCCGGGATGTGGCCTGATTCCAGGGGGGCGGGGGAAGGAGGAGGAGGAGGAGCATCTGCTGCCCCCCCCGCCCGCCCCCCCGCGCCCCCCGTGGGCCTGTCCCAGCGCTGGGAGCTCAGGGTCGGCGGCTACTTCCCCAAAGGCGGAGCTGACAGGGAAAGACTGTCTAGAGAGAGCTGGTTCCTTCGGTGGAGCCTCCAGCTGCAGCTGCAGTCTACCTCCCAGCCATGAATCAATACATTCCAAGTGCTTCCGTCCACCTTTAGGGCTCCTCAAGGGGAGACCTTCCCTCCCGCCAACCTGCCTGGCTATGGAGAGGTGGGTGGGCACCCCCCCCCCCCACTCCCTCACCCCCTCATGCACTCCAGGCCGATGTGGCTGCAGGCCAGACCTAAAGCTGTCACAATGTTTGATCAAACCAGCGTCACATTCTGGAAGGACGCTCAGGCTTGGATCTGGCAAGGTCAGGTGTTGGCAAGGCCCGGATCTGCCAAGGACAGACAGTGGATCTTTGAAGGTCCCGCCTTCCTTGTCACCCAGCCTGGCGATTGTACAATTTTTTTGCTTATGATGGTTTTAGAGGCTGCAAGACTTTTCCGGCCGTTTACAAACTTGGAAAGAACTTGTATCAAGTTTGAACACTGTTAAAATCATTTTGAAAATTTTCTGAAAACTTTTGAAAACTTCCTGACAACTTTCAAAAACTGTCTGAAAACTTTCGAACACTTTTTGAAAACATTCAAAAACGCTTTTTAAAGCTTTCAAAAACTGTCTGAAAGCTTTCGAACACTTTTTGAAAACCGTGAGAAACTTTTTGAACCACTTTTAAAAACTTTTTGAACCCCCTTTTTTTTTAAAATGTATCCTCTTAATTGGCCAATCAGAAAGTTTTTCACCTGTTGCAAAGGGGGCAGACACACGTTTCCCAAAAGGCCCCCCCCCCGCCTAAAACCTGGCCTCCAATAGGAAGCTATCAAAGGAGCTGGAGAAAGGCGGGGGGGGGCTATTTTCCCCCTAGTTCCCCCCCCTTCGCCTCCCCCTCCCAATAGACCCCCTTTTCTCTCTTCCCAGAGAAGCTCTTTGCCACCTGCGCCAGGAAAGGGTTAGTCAGGCTGACCGAGAGTTACCTCTCTCTCCCCCTCGCCCCCTCCCCTCCCATCTCTTGAATCCATGCCTGGCTTCCAAGGCGGTGGGCTGAGGCTGGTTGCTCCGGCAACCGTGATGGGGTGATTTCGTTGGGCCCATCGGACTGACGGACGCGGCAGAGACCAGGGGGATTTCTCCGCCAAGGGGGGGGGGTCCTTTTCTCTCCCTGGGATGGCGTGCTTTGTCCTGGGATAAGGCCTGTCCAGACACACACACACACACACACACACACACACACAAACACACAGACACCGGAGTCAACATGGTGTCCCACTCTTTGCCCAAGAGACTGGGAGCTGGCAGGGATGATGGAGGACTTTTGTGAACCCTTTGTGGGGGGGGGCTTCAGGCAAGAGGCCCGGAAATGTGCAGCTATTAGAAGCAGAATAGAGCTGGAAGGGACCTTGGAGGTCACCTAGTCCAGCCCCCTGCTCAAGCAGGAGACCCTCTTCCATTTCAGACAAGTGGCTGTTCCAGCCTCTTCTTAAAAACCTCCAACAATATCTGGTGGCACGGAATTCCACTGGTTGATTGTCCCCCCCCCACCTTACATTACCTGGACAAATCCTTGGGGTGGGTGGGGGTCAAAATGACACCCTGACAATGAAATTGCAGCCCTGCCTGGTTTTTATACTCGTCCCGGACTTACAGCTGCAATGGATTTACGTTGCTTAAGCAAGACATTTGCAAAGTGAGTTTTGCCCCGTTTTACAACCTTTCTGGCCACGGTCGTTAAGCGAATCGGGGCCCATGTTCAGTGAGTAAACACGGTCGTGGAGTGAATCCGGCTTCCCCCACTGACTTTGCCTGTCAGAAGGGCGTGAAAGGGGATCACGTGACACCCCCCCAGGGACGCAGCGACCATCGTAAATGTGAGTCAGATGCCAAGCATCTGAATTTTGATCGGATGCTGCAAGTGTGAAAAATGGTCGTAAGTGTGAAAAGTGGTCATAACTCACTTTTTCAGGGCTGTTGTAACTGTGAACGGTCACTAAACGGAGTGTCGGACGTCAAGGCCCATCTGTATCACAGGGGCAGGATACAAGGCCGTTCCTGCAAGCAGCCCCCCACCCACTCCTTTGCCCCCCAAAAGCTGGGCAGAGCTGAGCATCTCAGCCGCCAACAGCACGGACACGGGGAGGTGGGGGTGGGAGATACTCGCCCAGGTCTGCACGGGGAGGGTCACTTTCCCCACCCAGGTCAGCTCCCAAAGAGCCCCCCCTTCCAGAACTGCTGAGCCGAGGGAGGGAGGGTGGCCAGGGGGCGAAAGTGCCTTTCCCAAAGAGGCAGGGATGGGCAGCCCCGGCTGCGGAGCTTCTGCAGCAGCCGGGGGGGGGGTCTTCTCCCACTGAATAGACTCGGTCCTGTTGCCCAGAGAACGGACCCTCCGCGGGGGGGGCTGGATTGGAGTCCAGCCCGGGTGGGCAATGGGGTCTTTATGCTGCTCTGGGAACGAAGCCACTGGTGGCACAGGGGAGAGAGCCAGAGCGAAAGCAGAGATGTCACCCAGGGAGAGAAGAGAAGGGCCCCCCCTCTTCAGTTTTGCTGTGGGGCACAAGAGAGGAGGGAAGGGTTGATAGGGGGCAGAGAAGAGGTCAGCGCTGACCCCCTTCCCTTCAGTTTTCTCCTTCCTTCCTTCCTTCCTTCCTTCCTTCCTTCCTTCCTTCCTCCCTTCCTTCCTTCCCCTTTCTTTTCTTTTCTACTTTACTTTACTCCCTTCCTTTTTCATTCTTTCCTTTCTTCTTCTTTTCTTCCCCTTCCCTTCCTTTCCTCTCCTCTCCTCTCCTCTCCTCTCCTCTCCTTTCCTTTCCTTTCCTTTCCTTTCCCTTTCCTTTATTTTCCTTTCCTTCAAGAAAGATCCAGCCTGGAACTAAGGAGAAATTTCCTGACAGTGAGAACAATCAACTGGTGGAACAGCTTCCCTCCAGGGCTTGTGGGTGCTCCATCACTGGAGGCTTTCAAGAACAAAGTGGACATTTATCTGGGATGGCCTTCTTGAGCAGGGGGTTGGACTAGACGACCTCTGTGGTCCCTCCTGGCTCTGTCATTCTGTTATTCTTTTCTGATCGACCGAGATGGCGCACCTTGGTGTACCAGGGTTGCCAGACATACGAACACAGAAGGACAATCTTGGCACAAGAGAAGCGAGCACTCCGCAAAGCCAGAGCTGCAAATGCTGAAGTAACAGTGTCTACATTTCTTTGTTCAGGATGTGGCAGAGCATTCCATGCGAATATCGGTCTTATTAGCCACCTACGGACACATCATTGATGGCCCATAACCCACAAGATGTCAAGGCCTTCATCGAACTTGATGGATGAACAACCATGTCTGTCTGTCTGTCTGTCTGTCTATCTATCTATCTATCTATCTATCTATCTATCTATCTATCTATCTATCTATCTATCTATCTATCTATCTATCTATCTGTCTATGTCTATGTCTATGTCGTCTATCTCTATGTCTATGTGCGATAGAAAGACTCTCTCTCAAGTCCCTGGATATTAACACCACCTCTTGGGAACTTCTGGCACATGATCGACTGACATGGCGCACCTTGGTGTACCAGAGTTGCCAGACATATGAACACAGAAGGACAATCTTGGCACAAGAGAAGCGAGCACTCCGCAAAGCCAGAGCCACAAATGCTGAAGTAACAGTGTCTACATTTCTTTGTTCAGGATGTGGCAGAACATTCCGTGCTAACATCGGTCTTATTAGCCACCTATGGACACATCGTTGATGGCCCATAACCCACAAGATGTCAAGGTCTTCGTCGAAAATCGATGCACGAACAACCCATCCAAACCCATTCTTTTCTGCACTTGATCTCACTCTGCTTCTCCAGCACGTCCAGTATGACGAGGGCCACGTCTACGTTGCTTATCCATGAACCAAAACCGGGGACGGAGCCAGTGGTGGAAGGGAGCGTGGGTGGGGACCCCCTGGCCTTAAACCTGCCTCCAGGCGTCATGGCTTGAGCAAGGAGGCCTCCTTGCCTGCGGTGACCCCGGCTCTTTCCGGCTGGGAGGGCTGAGTCAGCAGCTGAGGGCTGCCCCAAGTGGGTTTTCTCCTGGCTGGGCGCTGGCAAGGACACTTGGGAACAGAGTGGGAACATCTCCGCACGTTGGGAGGAAGGACGGGGGGGGTGTCGGGCGCTTCCGCGGAGCAGGAGGAGACCTTGGGCCTTATCTCCTCTCCAGATAGCCAGGCACGCAAGCCGAGGAGAGAAGGGGGGGCGTTTCCTAAGGGGGCACCAGGCGTCCCGGGGCTGGTCCCGCCAGGCCAAGGCATTGGGGGAGGGAGGGCAAAGAGAGCGCCTGGTCTGGGGTCCCCTGGGCTCAGCACTGCAATACGGGGGTCTCGGGCTCCTCTCTTTGTCTGAGGAAGGGGTGGATCCCCCCCCCCCGTCCTCCTGCATGGGAAGGTGGAGCCTGGTTCCCAGGGAACTTGGCTGAGAGAACCTACGGCAGGCATCAGGTCCCAGGCTGGCCAAGGGGTTTAGTGGTTAAGGCACCAGGCCAGAAAGTGGGAGACGGTGAGTTCTAGTTCTGCCTTAGCCAAGAAAGCCAGCTGGGTGACTTTGGGCCAATCACTAGGAGGTGGAGACAGAGACGGTAAATTCTAGTCCTACCTTAGGCAAGAAAGCCGACTGGATGACCTTGAGCCAATCACCAGGAGATGGCGGGTTCTAGTCCTGCCTTTAGGCACAAATTCCAGAATTCCCCAGCCAGCATGCTTTTGGGACGGGTGGACTTCCACTCCCAGAATCCCCCAGCCAGCCTGCTTTAAGAGGGGGGGACTTCCACTCCCAGAATCCCCCAGCCAGC